CCCAGTTCTGCCGACACGATTGTTAGTTAAGCAATCTTTATAACTGAAACGTGGCTTTCTCGCTAATTCATAAATATTTTAGCACATTACGAATCTTGGCTGAGCGCAAACAATATGCATTTAAAACTAAGATGAAGTGGTAGAATATACATGTATATGGCATACAGCAGGTACTCAGAATGCGGTTAAACTTATCGGACCAACTGAAATCTACAAATACAGAATGCATTAACACCTCTCTCGTGTGCTCAATAGAAACGCCAAGGCCCCGCCCCCTGCCTCTACCCGCACTAGCATATATGCACACATATGTATGGCAAGCCCTTGTAAAGCTTTAAATGCAACAGCAACAAATGCAACTTACACAAATCGTGAAAAACCCCCCGAAGAGAAAGAAACAGCAGGCGAAAATGTGAGCGAAGAGCGCGGGGTTAAAAAAAAAAATAAAACCAGCACGAACAGTGGAAATAAAAAAAAAAAAGAAACAACAGAGCCTCATAACTAAATTGCATTAAGTGTAATTATAACTAATTTGAAAAACAAAAAATAAATGGCAAATGGCAAAAAAAAACAAAACACAAGCCGCATAAATGGCCCATATAAAAAAAAAAGCACATTTTTTAGAAATTGTTTTCATGTTTTTTTCCAATCTCTTGCTCTCTACAGCCCCCCGCTCCCCCTTTGCGACGGCCATGGCAAATGATTAGAGCCAGTGGAAATGCTGTGGAAATGTTATGCGATTAGTGGCGAGGCGAAATGAAATCCCCAACAATAAACGAAATAATTGAGTCAGCAGGCGAATGGCATTTCAATTGATTAATCTAACGATTTATAATAACTGCAATCCGGATATAGCCCTGGATATATAAGTTTGACAAGTGAATGCTAAAATATTGACGAGGCGAAAATAAATTCGCAAAGCGCGTCGGTTCACTGTTCACTGAACTGTTTTAAAGTGTTGAGAAACGTTCAACTTCACTCTCAACTGTTTCTAAGTGTTGCGAAGTGCTTTAGAAATCATTTATTAAGAATCATATTAGCACATTTTCCTAATGCAATTCATAAGAATCAATTCTTTTATGAAAACAATTAACTTACGGGCTTAAGAATATATTTATAGCATCTTTTTTTAACACCCTCGTTCCAAAACTTTGTGTAAGGATTGATTGGTTTATAAAAAGTGTAATTTAGATATGACACTGAATATGTAAAAAGTTTGAAACCGCTTGAAAGGTTTCTAAATGATTGCCAAAATATTGGTAGGACAAAAAAGAATTCGCAAAACGCTTCTGAACTGTTTTAAAGTGTTGAGAAACGTTCAACTTCATTTTGAACTGTTTTTAAGTGTTGCGAAGTATAATATTACAATTATGAAAATTTCTTCTAAAATCAATAAACTTATGAGCTTAAAAATTAATAATTAATATCATTGTTTTATTTAATGATTCCAGGCTCAAAAAAACTGAATATTTCCAAACCTTGACGTCAGGATTGATAGGCTTAAAACATGTTTTCTAATTTGAAATTTTAGAAGTACTTATTCCAAATTTCTGATACATTTCTCAGATTCAAATCTGTGCAGTTTATAGTAGATAATTCTATCATAGGTGTAGGCCAGAATATTGCCTTCAATTAGGTTCTAGATTCCAGCCTAAGTAATATTCGTTATAATTCCCATTCCCCTTAGTATTCAAATAAAAATTTTAAATTTCATATAATGTATGCCAGAGCAATGCCTTTCTGCAGTTATGATCCCCAATTGACTTTAACTCAATTTTATTTTATTTATTTATTATTTTCTTTTTTTTTCGTACAAGATTCGTTTTGCTTTCGGATAAATGGTATGAGAGAAGCTATAGAAAAGATTTCTTGAACTTTCAGATTGTGCGCTTTTATTAAACTGAATAAAGGCGCAAGTTGTGACTGTACCGCGGATTTGTACAATTGGTTGTTCAATTACCAGAGCCGCAGCAACAACAACAATGAGAACAACAACAACAACAACAACAGCAACAGATACAGATTGAAAGGCAGCATAGGCATTAGCATTAGCCCATAGATGGATGCCTTTAGCTACGGTCAAGAGATGCAAAGCGAGAAACGGGCACAATGAACCTGGGGCCAGAGCCGGACGGGGGCAGAGGGCAAAGGGGAGGGCAGGCAGGCAGGCAGACAGGCAGGCAAAATAAATCATTTAATATAGCGCGCTATTTATCATCTAACATTGCTGCATATCATTCTTCATCTTGGCACACACACACACACACACGCGCGCGCGAGCACACACAGTTGGGTGCCTCAGGAGTAGACAAAAAAAAAAAAAGTGGAAGTAGAAAACAAGTAAGAGTGCTATAGGCGAAAGAGCGCGACTGTGAGATGCCCTATACGCGCTGTAAACATTTTAAATACATTAATTAATTGTTTAAACTATGACAAATTCATTCTTAAAGCAGCACATGTGCTTAATTTTATTATAATTATCAGCAAGACATGCTCAAAGTGAGGGTATAGAAATCGATACTATACCTTATGTGTCTCGACGATATACCCTTTATTGGGCATTTAAAATGGGTATAAAAATAGAAGTGAAGGCAAAATTAGCGTGAATGAAAACTGCTGGCTGAGACGTGTGGCAATGGGGGGTGTGGGAGGTGGAGTGCGGTAGGGAATTTACACACCTAGCAAGAAGCGTTGTTGTTAGTGTCGGGTGGGGGGCTGCGGCTGCACTCATATAAACAAATTGCGCGAACGGAGCAGCCAAAATGTCTGCTGCGGCCATAAAGACACAGCGTGTGTGTGTGTGTGTGTCTTTCTGCTTGCATGTGTGCGTGTGTGTGTTTGTGTGAAAGAAATGTACAAATGTTTGGCTGTCGGTCTGTCTGTCTATTTGTCGTATCTTTTCTAGTGAACGATTCTGTGTTGTTTATTCGTCACTTTAACACGTTCGATGCTGACGCGCGCGCAAGCAGCGGGACAGCGGGACAGCGACGGCGGCAGCGACAGTGACTGCGACTGCGACGCAACGTCACTGACACCGACACAACGCACAAACACTCATACACTCATACATACAAAATAAACGAAACGCAGCGACAGAACTTATTTTTATTTAATGCGCGCCTCGCATATGCGTCTGTTTGTATGTGCATACTGTATGTATGTGTGTGTGTATGTATGCTGCATGTTATGCCTATCAAGATTGAGTTTGGTTTTTCGTTTGATTGTTTTGATTGTTGCCGCCAAATGCGTAACAAAACAAAGCGATGTAAAAGTTAAACTGCCTTAAAAACTATGTACGTACCATATATGTGTATGTGTATGTATTTATATTTGTTATTGCTGCTGTGACTGTGATTTTATGCTCGCTCTCGCAGGCGCTCTTGGTCTTTCTCTCTTTCTATCTCTCTGTAGAGTTCTCACTTGCACTATTAGAATTTTGTTGCCTGCTTAAATGCAGCGCGTTCTGATTATTATGTGTTATCACACATATGCTGTTCATATGCATTGCATTATTTTGTGTTTCTGCTTAGTTTTGTATTGATTGGCAACACACACGCGCTTTTGTTTTCGATTAATTAAGCGTAGAGAAACGCAAACATTTACGCGCAACGCGACAACCTTACGCTTTGACAACTGAACGAGAACTGATTGTAAATATTATATCGATAAGTTGAGTGTATTTGTTCAGCTGCGCTGCGGCCAAAATCAGGGCTGCCGAACCAGTGCTGGTAAATTCAAAAATATGTCATTTATAAAATGTTAATAAAATTTATTTGTAAAAAAATTGTTTTTCAACTAAATTCAAAAATGAATAAAGTTACGATGGGAACAACAACCGTTAAAGGCGTTTTAAATTAAGGCCAACATTAATTTATTATCCACTCGTTCGTTGCAACAACAGTGCTGTATAACGCACATAGCTGCGAGCTAAATCAAAACAGCTGTTTTGTTTTTAGCAATGTCGTTGTTACACACAGTTATTAAATCATTATCGAAACGTTTAATATTGCATGGCGCTAGCATTCAGCAAAATTATTTGCATATTGCCGCCAAACCCCATCATGCAGACTCGTTAACATTTGCAACACAAACGCGCAGTATTTGGGGCTATGTGGCTGTGGCCTTCAATCAGGTGGACGCAGATCGTTTGGCTAAGGTGGGTCCTAATCGTCTCTGCGCCGAGTGGGTGGTAAAAAACGGTGGCGGCGTACGCTTTACAGAGAGTCCCACCAAACTATGGAAGGACTACAATCAGCTGCCGTCAGAGAACACTGCGTTTCGCATTAAAGTTGTAGATGCCTCAAATGCTTCGGTCATGAAAATTGGTCTCGAACATTTGAAAGGGTGCGACCACATAGACACTGTCATCTTTCACAATTGTAAGCACCTGGAGAATGAGGGTCTGAACGGGCTGTCCCATATTACCAAGTCGCTGACACGCCTGCAGGTGTCCGGCTGTTATAACATCAGCGATTCGGGCTTGGCCATCATCAGCGAGCTGCACAATCTGAAGCAGTTGATCATCTTTGACATGATCTACGTCCAGAATATGGAAGAAGTGGCGCGCAGCCTCAAATCAAGTCTGCCCGAATGTGATATTCAAGCCACCAAATTCGCCGTGCAGTTGAAAAAGTAATACTATATCAGCAATATGCAAAATGTTACTGTTTTTGTTAAATTCACATGCTCTTTCTAGAAATAAATGAAATTTTAGAACAGCATTTCGAGGGCTTTAAGTTAATGTCCTTGGGAGTGACTGTGACTATAAGGAAGGTTTCTCTACGTTGGACTATTCAATGAGATCTCGGCCAGATAAAGAGTGAGTACTATTGGATATTTGGTGTATCTTAACCTCCTCTACTCTATATAATCGTCTTTTCCAGTTAACTGAAGTGCCTAGAATGGTTAACCTTGTGGATATTTGGAAAGAAACTGTAATCCTCCGGTCCATTAGCCAAGTCACATTCTAAACTTACGAACTGCAATAAGAATCGCCTGTGTTTTCTGTATCAGTGTAATTGGTGCCAGGCATCATGTACAAAATGCTCTAAAGAACTTATAAATACTTTTTGGTGTTGTTCAGTGCAGTCTATTAGTTTGCTTAAGTACTAAAGTATTGCGTCTAGGTGGCGGCCAAGATATAGGGGCGTATATCCTCCACATCGAGCAGCTGCTCAGGCGCCACGCGCTCCCCACACATGGGACAGTCGCCATTCTCCGAGAGTATGCTATAATCATAGTGTATAAATCATATTTGTATATTATAAAAACGTAAATGATAAAATGTGCACACACTTTTCCATTTCGGCGCGAAAGCATAGAAAATCGCACTGCGGACACGATGTCATTTGTTGCTTGATTACGTGCTGGCCCGTTGCTATGCAGATGGGCAGCGTGGTCTTGCAGCTGTAGCAGGTGACCTCCATGTTGGCCAAATTGGCATCGCATATGGGACATTCCATAGTCTCGTCGTCGATTTCGTCGCGCAGCTGCTTTACGCCCTTGGGCGCTTTGCGCACAATCGATTCGATCTTCTTGATGTAACGAGTATCCAGCTGATTGCGATAGTCCGGACGCATCAGCATGGAGGCATACATAAAGGCGGACTTCTTGAGTCCTGCGCGATGGCATTCAATCACTGTAGAAGTGAGTATGGGCACAATGTCTGGGCGGAAAATTTAAGAATTAGCAATATATGGTAATAGTCTGTTGACTACTCACGCTCCGGAAACTGTGATATGCAGGCGGCCACCTGCACCAGCAATTTGGCGGCTAGCAGATGATTGCCCAGCTTGACATGGATGCGCACCAGCGTATAGCGATGCAGCAGTATCAGGTTGTGGCGCATTTCGGCAGTGACCGATAGATTATTGCGTCGCAGCTCCTGGTACATTGAGTAAAGCAAATCTCGTGCAGACTTGTAGTTGCCGGCCAGTTGCTCCTGATTGGCTATAATGACAGCCGTCTTGGCCGCATCCTTGTAATGCTTGCGCGCCATATACAAGCGGAATAAATAACGCGGATCTTTGGGCACGCCATCCGATTCGCCCAGCAGAAACTCAATTAGCTGCGTGGCCAGCTGCTCATTGTTGGAGGTGGCCACACAGTCAATGGCCAGCGAAAGCGCCTGCGACTCCTCATTGCTGAAGGCGGAGGCTTTCAGCAGAAAGCGCAATGCTTTGGTAAACTCCCTGGCCAGAAAGTAATATTTGCCCGCCAGCAGCGTATACTTCTCGCTCTCAAAGTAATGGGCCAGCGCCAGATAGTCAGCCGATTTGGCATTCTCGTAGCGTTCCAGGAGCTCGCCATGACGACGCAGCTTATTGTGACGTTGGGCCAAGGCGAAAGCCTCCTCCACACAGCCGCAGATAACAAGAAACTGCAGCGCCTGCTCAATGTCATTAATTTTCTGATAGAACTTGGCCAGCAGCTTGGCCGCATCCATGGAGCGTGATTCCAGCACAATTTCAGAGGCGGCATGTGGATCGCACAGATGATCCAGATAGATTCTGACACAGGCATCTAAGTCGCCGGCTATGCGATAGCTGCGTATCGCTTCCTCGAAATGACCATCCGATTCCTTGGCTTTGGCATAGGCCGCATGCAGTTTGCTGCTCTTGACATGGCCCAAAATATTGTTGGCCTTGTGCCACATCTTAAGAGCTATATAATGCCCGCAGGCCTCATCATAGTAGCCGCCGCGTTCGTACAGACCCGCCGCCTCGGTAATATGACCCACTGTGGCCAGCAGCTCGGCGCAGTCGAAGAGCAACTGCTTGTCCTGCAGCTCCACAGCGTATTGAATCTGGAAATAGTAAGAAGAGTTAGTATTGGGAATGGGATTAACGAAGGCACAATAGATCTTACACCACGTCGGAAATCGCCTGCGCGTATGGAAGTACGCGCAATCCCCATTTTACACAGACGCACATGCTCCTCGTATTCGGGCGTGCTGTGCAGCAGCGTTGGCGGTTCCGTATCCTCATTGTTTATCAAGTCCTCCTTGTAGCCTTTCTCATAGTGATACAAAGCATCCGCATAGTTGCCACTAGACGAGGCAAAACAAGGTTTATATAAATCTCGAATCTAATTGATGGCACTTACGTGAACTCCAGCTGCTGTGCGTACTCGCGCGCTATGAAGGGCACCTCGAGCGGCTCATGTTTGTGCGCCAACAGCAGCGCCTGATCCCACTGCAGCAGATCACGGCTGAGATCCAGTGCAGCGCGTGTGTAAACGCCCTTCAGCAAATACTCCTTGGCCTGATCGTACTGAGCCAGCAGCATGCAACAGCAGCCGCTCAGCATGTGCAGATCCTCTATGTAACGCAGCTCGTCCAGCGCCTTGACCAGCGCAGCATCACCCAGTTGGCGATAGGCGCGCAGAGCTGTGTAAGAGCACAAGATATCAATAAATTGAATCTTGAGCGAGCTCGCAGTTAAAGAAACGAGCTGTATTTAAGTATTATTTGCACACCTATTTCCGGCTCCAAATCCGCTATTGCATGCTCGCCAAACTGTCGCCAGGCACTGTCCAATTGCATCTGCTCGCACAGCTTGTAGGCCTCGTCGTATTTCTTGAGCCGCAGCAGCAGCAGCAGATTATCCGAGTGACTATTGCTGGGATTGATGACATGTGTGCTCAGGGATTGTGTCGCATATTGGCCACCATCGATATGCAACGCCATTTCGCCAGCGCACACCAACAGCGGCACCTGGCCCGGATTAAGCTTCGTTTCGCCCAGCTTCTGTGTGTGCCTGCCACGCACCGAGTGACGCGCAAAGACATGCGTATAAGCCATACGCGAATCATAGCTTATAAAGATGTTCGACTGCGTTAAGTCCCACAGACAGCCCACGCATTGCTTGGGCAGATCCGCAATCAACAGCGCCTCCTGATCTAAGGCGGGCAGATAGACAAAGCCCTGTCCATGTTCATCTATGAAAATTGTTTTTGTGCCCTCGACGTCTGCGAAAAGCTGACGTATGCCATTGCTGTGGCGATAGATGGTGCAGGTGTCCCACTTTTCCAGCGAGTAGAAGACCAGGTGGCCAATCTGCAAGAGAAATAAAAATAAATACCATAGCCCAACAATGTTTTCAGCCTGCGCACATCCGTGGCAAAGATGAGCAGCTCCTGGCTAAGGGCAAAGCACGTGATGACCGCATCGCTGGGCATGGTTGGCAGCGCGTTGGGAAAGCACGCCTGCAGCTTGTCCTTGCAGTTAGGATTGTCTGCGGCTATGGCCTGAAGTATGAGCTGTGGCGGGCACAGTGCGGCGCAGTAATCCGCATTCAGTTTCATGGCTGCAATGTCATGCGGCAAATCGCGTTCACTGAGCGGACGCGGCTCATCGCCCAGGCTCTTGCCCAGATCATAGAACCAGACGTGCTTGTCCAATCCAGCAGCAAAATTATAGGGACCAATGGCTAAAAACGTCGGCTCCGTTTCCAGTGGCAGGCGAAATGGCAATGATTTGGATTTGTCGGGCGCATAAACGTAGATCGAAACCTCGGCCAGGCTGCTCAACATGACGAAGCGTGGCGCGGAGACGGCAAACATGTGCGGCAGCTTGGTCACATAAGTGTAAACGGTGCCGCCGCTGGTGGTGACCGCCAGCAGTTGTCCGTCCGGCGACCAGTCAATCATTTGCACACTCGCGCGATCCGGCACTGTGATGATGCGTTCCGTTTCCTGCAGATTGGTTATCGAGTGGATTTTTATGCTGCATGTTGGAGAGAGGGGTCAATAGAAAGCAAGGCACATAGCTGTGGGCGTGTACTAACCTGTCATCCCCGCAGGAGGCGACAATGTCCAGTGATGGGCAGTAGGCCAAGCCGGTTAGCGTTTCCTTGTGATTTCTTACTTGCCACAGCTCCTGGCCCACGTCTTTAGGATGCGTGGAAATTGCCACCACATGACCATTCGAAAAGCCCAACAGTATATAGCCATCGCCGAACCATTTGTGCTGCAACAGCGAACCATACCGGCTCTGAAAGCCCAGCTCTGTGGGATTCTCCGGCTCCGGCAGATAGTACAGAAATAGCGTACGCTTGCCAATGATCATGCTTAGGGCATTGTCACCTGCGATGCGCTCATCATTGGCCATTTCCGCAAAATACATGTCTGTGGGCGCATCACGCAGCTGGACAACGCGCACCGTGTCGCCATCCTCGCTGCTCAGCGAGAAACTCTTGTCATCGGAGCCCAGAGCAAGCAGATTTTGTGCCGACCAGGCGCCGCATGTAATCCGCTTGTTGTGCTTGCCCAGCACCGGGGTACGCTTGCCGCTGCGATGATTGTAGATGGACAAATTGCCGCGACCTGTGCCCACAGCGAGCAGTTGCTGCTGCTTGGACCACAGTATGCATGTGAGCGGATCACGTAGTCCCGATTCTACCGTCAGTTTCTGCTGTGTTGCATAATCCCAGAGCGTTATATTCGGCGATGTGCTGGTGATGATGCCCAATAGGTCACCCTCGCAATCCCAGGCAAAACCAGAGCACAAACTGAAATATGCATTGGTTGTTTAAATGCGCCTAAAGGCAGTACTCTGTAGATTACCCGGCCAATATAATGCGCTGCACAAGTTGGCCCTGGCGATTGTACAACGCCACGGAGCCATCGGTGCCCGTTGTGGCCAGCAAAGCTCCCGCGCTCTTCTGCCAAATGAAGTAGACGTCGCCAATGCCGTGCGGCTCATCGTATTTGTACAATATCTTCTCAAACGACATTTTCAGCATTAAACTACTACAAATTCATGTTTTTTTTTTAATACTATTGCACTTGTGCTGCATTTTGCAGAACCCGAAATTTTTCGCCTTTTGTTTACGCTTTTTAGCCGTTGCTATGGCAGCAACAAGTAGTTTTTCAAAGCGATACTACTCGCTCCGGCAAATAGTGTGACCGTAGCCAAAATAAATAAGAAATAACAAAAAGTACTGAATGTTGTTCACGCTGCATAAGGCCACTAACAGTTTTAATACAATTAATTTAATTAATTAAGTACAGTTAATCAGTTACAAGATATAAGAAAATAAATAATACAAACAACTTATTTGTTTACATTCTTTTGATATTTTGATATGGCAGCAACAAGTAGTTTTCAATCAATTCTAGCGCCTTGGCAAGCAGTGCACTGGTACTTTCACCAAATACCAAATATACTGCATGTTGTGTGCAGCATACTAAGCATAAAGTAGATAACAGCTGTAATAACATTAAGTATAAAGTTCTCTCTAATTATAATAAATTTAATTAATTAAAAACACTCAGTTAACGAAAAAATAAACAAATCTTAAAGCACATACCATGTCGGATGATCTGCCCGAGGAATTCGATCTGATAGTCTTAGGCACAGGTACTGGGCGTTATTTGTTTTTGTTTGCTTTTTCACCTGTCTGATGACTCACGAATCTTTGTCAGGCTTCGCTGAATCCTGCATTGCCGCGGCCGCCAGTCGAATTGGCAAAACGGTGTTGCACATCGATTCCCATGATTACTATGGCGACGTTTGGAACTCATTTAGCCTGGAGGCATTTAACAAGCTGTTGGATCAGCCCAGCAGCAGCCTGCGCAACGGCAGCTACACCTGGCATGAGCCAGCGGAGGAGGCACCCAGTTGGACGCGCGAAACATTGCTGGAGAAGTCGCGCCGCTTCAGTCTGGATCTGAGTCCTCGTGTTGCCTACTCTGCCGGCGCGCTGGTGCAGTTGCTGATCAAGTCCAACATTTGCCGCTATGCGGAGTTCCGTGCCCTGGATCATGTGTGCATGCTGTACAACAACGAACTCGTCTCGGTACCCTGCTCCCGCAGCGATGTCTTCAACACCAAAACGCTGACCATGGTGGAGAAGCGTCTGCTCATGAAGTTTCTGACGGCCTGCAATGATTACGGCGAGGATAAGTGCAATGAGGATGCGCTCGCCTTTCGCGGTCGCACATTTCTGGAGTATCTGAAGGCACAACGGGTTACGGACAAGATAGCCACATGCGTGATGCAAGCTATAGCCATGTGCGATGCCAGCAGCAGCTTTGAGACGGGCATGCAGCGCACCCAGCGCTTTTTGGCCAGCCTGGGCCGCTATGGCAATACGCCCTTTCTGTTTCCCATGTACGGCTGCGGTGAATTGCCGCAATGCTTTTGCCGCTTGTGCGCCGTCTTTGGCGGCATTTATTGTCTGAAGCGCAGCGTCGACGACATCAGTTGGACGCCGGACGCCAAGGAGCTGCTGTTGAGCAGCGCGGGCAAAACGCTGCGCGCCAAGCATATTGTCTGTGCGCCCGGTCAACTGCCTGCAACATTGGCCCCACACTATGGCCAGCTGCAGCCGCATATCTCCAGAGGCTTGTTCATTGCCGCCAGTCCGTTGGGCAACGAGGAGCTCAATAAGGGCGGCGGCGGTGTCAATTTGTTGCGTCTGCTGGCGGACGAAGGGCAACGCGAGGCGTGTCTAATACAATTGTCCCACTACTCGGGCGCCTGTCCGGCTGGTTTGTGTATGTAAAGCCCATCTGTACTCTTAACTTTTTAAATCTTATGATTTGCAAATTTTTTTCTAGACATACTCCATTTAACGACGCCCGCTTTTAGTGAAGATCCTGCTGCCGATTTGGCTGACTTTACGGCGCAGCTGTTTGAGACAAATGCTCCACAGATTCTCTACAGCGCTTACTTTACCATCACGGCGCCCACGAATGCAAATGAAAGCGCTGCCACGCCCATTTACTGCACTGCCGCGCCCGCCTACGAGCTGGACTATGATGCAGCCATAGCCGATGCACGGCATATATTCAGTCAAATCTATGAGAACGACGATTTTTTGCCACGTGCGCCCGATCCCGAGGAGATTGTTGTCGATGGCGAGGATCCCAGCGCGCTGAACGAACACAGTTTGCCCGAAGATTTGCGGGCACAGCTGCATGATTTACAGCAGGCGGCACAGCAAATGGACATAGCCGAATAGCCAGGCATAAAAGTTCTTAAACTTGATCATCACTTTATTGATTGAAACAAAAAACTGGAACAGGAAAATTCTATATACATGCTAAATTTATCAGTTATATGTACCATATATATGTTTTTCTTTTCTTTTTTGTGGACAATTGAATTTCAAAAAACTAAATTTTTGCTTAGCACAGTTGATAATCAAATAATTCTTTGCATATAATTCTTTATATATAAATTTATTGTGTAAATTATTTATATAAACGCTAGAGTTACTATATATATATCTATATATATATATACGTTTATATATGTATGTGAGTGTGTGTGTGTATGTTTCAATATATATATATATCTTCGAAAAATATGCATTCCAATGCGTTATAAAAACTGTATTTTCTTTTTATGTTTATTGCTTGAGAGTTGCTTTTGCTTTGTGATGCACTAAAATTGTGTTTGTTTAAATTAAAAGAGAATTTTAAAACAAAATTTGTTAATAAGTTGTTTAAATTATATTATTTAGTTTAGTTAACAAAGGTAGAACGCACCAATTAAGTCTTAAGTTTATAGGAGCAGGCTTTTGAGAGAGGGTTGATTTTTTTTTTTTTTTGGGGCAGTTGAGATAGCAGAACTGAAGAAACATTTAAATTATATGTCACGAATTGAATACGAAACGATATACGTGCATTTTAGAATATGTTTAACGTGATTCCTTCCTTTATATAATCAGTAGTTCCTATATATAAATATATATTTATCTGCTTTGCCGCATTTTCAGTGCATTTTACAATAAAGCTTTTACGTTCTGGTTTCACTTACAATATCAGCTGCTGCTCGGTTGAGTTTGCGTTATCTTTTTTGTTTAACTTTAGATTCTTATATCTTAATCAGATTATTGTTGATATTCTGTTGGCGTTTGCGCTTCGCATTCATTGCATCCACAATGGGCTGCCGTTTGGCATTGTATTTCTTATTGAGCTGCTCAATTTCCAGCTCCATTTCGTGATCAATATTGCTGAGCCTCTGATTCAGATCGTCAAAGGTAAGAAACTTCAAGAACTCAAATTCACCCTCCACATAAGCATGGGATTGTGTGTGCAAATGCTGATGCTGATATGCGGGCGGTGGCTGTGCTGCAGCTGCCGCTGCTGCAGCTCCCCCCTGCTGCTGCTGCTGTGCTGCATTGCTGCGCAGTAAATTCTGCTGATTGTTGAGCGCAATCAGCTGCTCGTTCATCAGCGGATAGGCCATGAGCAACTGTTGCTGCTGCTGCTGTTGTTGTTGCTGCTGCTGCTGCTGATGCTGCTGCAGTCCATACTGATTGATGGCGGAGATTTGCTGAAATTGCATTTCCATGTTGTGCTCCCAATTGTTGGCATCATGCGCACCGCTGGCCAAATGATGTTGCTCCTGTTGTTGTTGCTGCTGCTGCTGTTGTTGCTGTTGCTGCTGCAGCTGCTGTTCCGCAGCAGCCGGCGAGTATTCCGTGGGCGTGCTAGTTGCCTTCTCATCGCCACGTCCATCGCCCGCATTCTTGCGCTCAAAGTGATCGAGAAACTGTGGTCGATAGCGATAGCGCGGCTTCTGATCGTCATTCCGCTTGGCCGTGGTCGAGTCATCCGAATCCGAGTTGATGACCATTGTGCCTGCGTACAAGAGAAAGCTGTTCAATAGGCTATATGATGTTTTGATGTGCCTGGGCATAGGATTTGTATAATCAGTGTATGGATGCATCTGAAATGGCTACTAAGCACACAGCTTCAGATAAGCTGATGAATAGTATACGCAGGCATATCAGTTTGTCTGCTTTTTATAGCTTGAACCAATAAAGGAAATGGTGCAAAGTACACGACTAGAAACCACTTTGGAATCAAACTGCCCCGAACTCGGAATTCCAATTTGAAGGAGACACAGCATACGTAGCTTGGAACCCATCCACATAATTTATTCCAAAATCTAAGGCTTGAAAAAAAAAAACCTGGGCTAATAAATGTGACTATTGACCTTCCTTTGTTGGCTTAATCCTTGATTAAGTATATACATATATGCTTGATTCCTTGGTGAACAACTCTACACTGATCGATATATTCCCTTAAAATCGATAAATATATTTTGCGATCCGAAGGCACCAAACTCACATTTAAGGCTCCCTAGGGCACGCAGGTTAAGCATATTTTAAATTGTCGATAATTTATCTAAGAACCAATAAATATCGATTCCCCAAAGTCGATAAGTATCGATGGGGTGGCACTCGCGACTTGCGTATTATTTCAGCTTTTCCCACACCCTCTACTTACCCAAATTGGACTCTAGCTCCACCATCGTGCCGCTATCCACAGTGGCCACATCAGCACCCGACGAACCACCAGCAGCGCCGGCTGCTGTTGCTGCCGCCTTGGCAGCTGCTTTGGCCATGCCACCGCGTATGCCGCCGGGTCCCAGCGTGCCCTCGTCCATATCTTCCGGATGTGCTATCATGGTCGCATCAGAGGCAGAGTTCTGTTGGTATTCATTGAATTTCTCAGGCACCAGGGTGCCGGGATCGTCTATGAAAGTCTTCACAGTGCCCGAATTGAATTCGGTCTCCTCCTCGTGAAGCATTAGACCCGATTCCTGTGTGGCCAGACTCTTGGCCTGGCTCATGGCAACGCCGGCCGCACGATTGGCACGCTGCTGCTCTCTTATGGCGCACGTCTCCTCCAGCATGTTCTTTAGTATGCTGCGATGCTTGGCATTGCGTATGAACTCGTGCTCCAGCAGCTCCGTGGCCGTGGCACGCTCATCCGGATCCTTGACCAGGCACTTGCTGACGAAATCAATAAACTCGGTGCTCCAGTGATCGGGTTCGCGAAATGAGGGTGGCGGTTTTTGGGGTATCATGAATATGGCACGCATGGGATGTATATCACCATATGGTGGCTTGCCTTCGGCCATTTCCAGCGCTGTGATGCCCAGCGACCAGATGTCTGCGACACAATCGTAGCCAATCTCCTCAATGACCTCTGGCGCCATCCAGAAGGGTGTGCCAATCACGGTGTTCCTCTTTGCCATGGTATCCGTCAGCTGACCGGCCACACCAAAGTCCGCCAGCTTAGCATAGCCCTCGGTGTTGAGCAATATATTGGCCGCCTTGATATCGCGATGGATCTTGCGGCGCAGATGCAAATAGACGAGGCCCTTGAGCGTATCTGATAATATGGTGGCGATTTCATCCTCGGTTAGCGTCTTCTTGCGCAAACGCATTATATCCGAAACGCTGCCGGCACCGCAGTACTCCATGCAGATCCACAGATCATATTGCTTAAAATACGAGCCATAATAGCGCACCACATACGGGGAATCACATTGTTGCATAATCGAAATCTCCTTGATAATCTCATGCAGATCGGACTCAACCGGCACCAGTTTGATGGCCACTATGGAGCTGCTCTCTTTGTGGAGCGCCTTGTAAACGGAACCGTAGCTACCCTCGCCCAGTTTGTACATAATGTCAAAGACCTTCTCCGGCGGCTGCAGCAGCGATTCCTCGGATAATTTCTTTAACTCCCCATTGCCATTTGTATTGGAAGACATGTTGCTGGCTGTTCTGTTGTTGTTGTTCTTCTACTTGTTTGGGTCGTTGTGCTTTCATATGCGTACCAGTTGATCATTCACAAATGCTACGTATTTTCGGTATATTGGCTTTTAATTAACACAATACCTGCCCGACAATAATTGCCAATTTAAATGGACATTTTTTCACGCACATTTGTTCTTTATTCGGTCGCCAGTAGAGCTGGTGCAGTAAAATTGCTAGTCACAGGTATTTTAAAGTGACCAGTCACAGATGGCCTAAAAATACGCATCCAGTATTAAATAATATTTTCAAAATACTTTAAGTTCTTTGTTATATATATATAGTTTAAGTAACCTTGCTTAAATATGTTTATTGCAGCTTTAATAAATATTCACTGCTGTTTCTTAAATATTAGTTAGCATATGAGCGTAATACATGTTAGATAAATAGTACTTTTCATCGCTTTGTTCACATGTGTGGTTATCGATTTTTATTTGTTTTGGTCACACATTGGCGCGTGTAGAAAATTATGACAAGTGTCGTTTGAAAACAAATGTTTTGTGCCAGAAGCTAAATGCTTAATTTTTTTTGTAAAAAACAAGATGCAGTGTGCAATACTATTGAATATATTGAGTAACAGTTTAGATACACTCGAACCACTTGTGGGGCGCAGCAAAAGTGTATTATTTGTTTGCTCTGCTCGGTGTTGCCAGACTGTCCCACTGCAATTGTAAACAAAGTCGAGGCAAAGTCGATCGCAATTTGGCGCAATGCAATTTGAATTTCGTGAAATGCGGCTGTTGACTGGCAATGGTAGCGGCAACAGCATGCATAAATACCTTTAAATGCAATTCGTAAACAATGTGCCTTATCAGTCACTGCGCTCTTGGCTGTCCTAGCAACGCGTGCCATAGTAACGCCAGCGATACCAACACACGAAGTGTGCCCGCCGAATTTGGGGGGCTAGAAAATTCCTGCATCTTGGTCGGCAGTCTGTTGTTTACGCCAGGTGACACCAGTTCGACGGCTGTTGGCAGCGGCACCCACGCAATATGTCTCAAGCACGGATAACCACCGCCTTTGGAGCACGGCCGTCGCACGATTTGCATACAAACTCCATATCGCTGAAACAACGTTCCAAATCCGCAAATCCACCGCAATTACGGCCATTTAGCGGTATACAGGGTTCGCGACCCCGTTATGTGCCGCCATTTTCCATACAATCGCAGCAAAAAAACACGGTCGTCATTAACGGCCCCATTCACGAGCCCCCAGTTACGGCAAGCGCGCGCGGCAGAGCGCCGAATCCCAAATGTGCGTATTTCCTGATGGATCCTAAATTAACATACTTTAACTATAACATAATAATTATTGTTTGGCATTGTTTTGATTTAAGGTTTGAAGAAACAGCAGAAGTCCATTTCGTCAAATAATCTGGGCGCTAGTCTTCACTCCTGCCCCGCGGTTAAGAATACGGGGCGTGGCACTTTGTTTCGCATGTATTTCGATCGCGGAGACTTACCCATTAAAATGGAATATCTATGCGGTGGCGATAAGATTGGCTGGACGGTAAGTAAAGCTTTGCGGTCTACGGTCTGGCAACGCAATGCAATTCGCTTATACGACTTGGGAATTATAGTAGAAAATTATATAAACTCTTTAAAGCTAGACAATCAAATCGATCTAGAATCGAGAATTTTCGAACTATTAACCTAATTGAAGCACTATTAGTTGCTGTATGATTTCTGTTACTAAGTACCGTGCTTAGCTGAACTTTGAACCGTAAATTACCTGACAAGCTTCAATGCCAACTAATTGCCAATAGGTGTTGGCCCGAATTTCTTCAACCAACAGCACCAGCTGCGTGTTCAATTATTTGAAGTGTGGCACAAAAAAGAACAAGAACTCTCACTGGCATTGTATTTATAATATGCCATTGTCTATTTCCGGAAAAAAACAGCAGCAAGCAAACGGACTGAATCCGTCGCATTCTCAGGCATTCCGTAAAGCCGTGACGTCCAGGTGTCAGGCAGGCAGTCACTCAGCAAAGAGGAAATAACAAATTATGGGAACATTGGGGCGTAACTGGGCCTAGGCTCCATTCAATGTCATGGGGCAGTGGGAGTGATATTGTTGCCATAAATGGAATGATGTCCAAGTAGGTGCGTTTGTTTATCTAGCCATGAGACAGTTTTGACAGCTCATTTACATATGAACCATACGTGAGTGACACTATATCATTTTGCGTCATATGCGAACTGAGGCTGAAGGTCAGATTGAAAGTTGCAAAAGGAGCGTGAAGTGGGGATTACCTGGTTAGAGAGAAAGTGAGATGAGAGCTTTTGCTAAGGAAAGTAATTATTATAAGGAAAAAGAGGTAATGCGGAAAACCTCTCGCTATAGATTATATAAGATTTTCTATATGATAAATTCAAAAGTTTTTTATTTCGTCTTCGAAAATAAACTTAGGCAAAATTGGGCAAATGTAAAAATGAAATGTAAAAACTAAAAATAAAAATTCAATTAATTCCCAGCCATGGAATATGCACAGCATATAGATGACACATTTTTGTGGCTTTTTGCTAACTTTTCCAATTGGTTAGCAAAATAAACAAAAAGCATCTTAATAGAAATCAGGAAAAACTTAACAAGCATCGCGTGCAAAATTTACACCTGGAAAAGCAAAAAACAAGAGGTTCTAGTCGGAAGCTCCCGACTAGGGTATACCCTGAACCCTCTTCTTCCAACACCAAATGCATATATATATTCTATTTTAGAAGCTATATGTCAAGTTCGGTGACTCTAGCTTTTAATTTTTACCGAAATTGCCCAAAAAACAGGATATTAATATCGATATTTATCGATTGCTTGGAAACGGAGTAAGTTATCGCTTATTGGAAACAAACTCGATCTGCGCAGGCACTAGGAGCACCTACACCTACCTACCTACGGACAGACGGACAGACAGACAGACGGACATGGCTAGATCGACTCGGCTATTGGTGCTGTTCAAGAATATATATACTTTATGGGGTCGGAGATGCTTCCTTCTGCTCCCTCCTGTTACATACATTTGGATTTTGCACAAATACAATATACCCTTATACCCATACCATTATACCCATTATACCAGGTTGTCAATAATGCTATTGCTTCAATCATTTTCGTTGCCAGGTGGACATTGACAAGCTGGACTACAGCCTCTATTTGCCGCTGTTCTTTGACGGCCTGGCGGAGCCAAAACATCCCTATAAGACCTATGCACGCCAGGGCGTTAGCGACCTGCTGCTCGCCGGCGGCGACAAAATCCATCCCGTGGTACCGCAACTAATTCTGCCCTTAAAGAGTGAGTAGCTGAGCTTAGAACCCGCAAATTGGAATTTGTTGTGGCATGCAAATGTGTCTTTGCATTAATTAGCAATTTTTTTCACTTTTTTTGCAGACGCATTGAGCACCAGAAATGTGGAGGTGATGTGCACGACATTGAAAATTATACAACAGCTGGTCATGTCCTCGGATATGGTGGGACCCGCTCTGGTGCCCTTCTACAGGCAACTGTTGCCCATGTTCAATGCGTTCAAAGTGAAGAACTGTAAGTTTCTACAGAGAGCTGAAAGAATTTATTTGCAAATCGTCAAGGTCAAAAAAATCTGCGCCAAAATCAGGCAGGAATTCGAACTTCTTGATCTTCTTTTTTCTCTGGTTTGCTGCCGGATTTGAACCGGCGACTGTCGGCTTGTTAGTCCGACGCTCAGACACCAAACAGTCGGAGCAATCTCTTCCGATCGGGAAAAATGTATATTAAGCCAGAAATAAAGAGTTTCTGTACAATTCGGTAGAAATTCGATAAATATTATATAAGGTTTCATTCCATTTTCTTTAGAATAGCTTTTATAATTAGTTTCTCAATTTACTTTCAGTAAACTGCGGCGATGAAATCGACTATGCGCAAAAGAACAATTTGAATCTGGGCGATTTGATTGACGAGACGTTGCAGGTCCTGGAGCTGCACGGCGGGGAGGATGCCTTCATCAATATCAAGTACATGGTGCCGACTTACGAGTCCTGCTATTTAAATTGAAGCTGTAGCTGTGGATTAAGCTGTTTCAATTAGCCATGGCTTATATATTTATGGCCAGTCTCAAAGAAAGCGCTTACACATTTTATGCTTCATATATGTATGCATATATATATATAGATATATATATAACATATCACGAGTATTTATTGAATTTTACATAGATGCGAATGATTAAATTTGTTATTTCGAATTTTCGTGTATTGAAATTTGTATATAGTTGAGTATATATGTGGAGGGTATATATATGTATATGTATATCTCTATATAGATCATGAGAGTGCGGCAAGCACAAAAGCCAATGCCCCAAGTACATACGTAATGGGATAGTGGCAGCAAGGGGGCGCAACAGCTCCAAGAAAAGACTACAAATAAATAAATTACTAAGATAAACTAGAATGGGAAAGATTTCGTATGGCTTCACTTACAGCTGCTGCGCCGCCAGATTTATTTAACATTTTGGCGGAGCGTACTCGTTCTTCTTGACATTGTGGGGCGAATAACGATTGTACAGACCCCAGATCGAATTCATTAGCTTGTCATTGTACTTGACCGGCAAATATTCACGCTCTAGAAGAAACAAGCACAAGCAGGGCATGTGAGTCGGTTAAGCTGAGTCTGAGTGCAGCTGGTCACACTTACGCGCATTGTTATCAGCCTTATCAGCAATATTGGCGGCTCGCAAACGTGAGATGATCATATCGCGATCCTGGAACTGCTCGCGTATCTTGCAGGCCGCAAAGGCTCCCTGTGGCAAGGCCATGTCCACAACTGTTTGAAAACAAAATGCAAAAAAAATAAGTCAAATTTACAATTTACAAATTTTTTTTTATTTTTTTTTTCAGTAAACGGTTTTTTTTTCTCGTGCACTTACTGTTGAAATTCAGATTATTTAAGAAGAAGAAAAGCTGTGCCAGCTGCAGCTTGCTTAGATCGTACAGTCTATAATAGACGTTATTCACGTATTGAGCAATTTTCGAGTTTTTAACGCGCAGCACCATTCAAATTTGGTGGAAAAAAAAGTGTTTTTCCTGTTGTTAGCCGAACGCAGTTGTTAAATATTTTTGTCAAATACTTTCAAATCGCAATTGAGATGTTCACAAAATTTAAGCAAATTTGCCAATAATTATTTATAATGTCACGATTGCACAATTCTTGTTGTACGGCATTTAAAAATGCCCGGCTTTTTATGGTTTCCACGATCTTTTGCACAGGTTTTTGAGAGCACACACGTTGTATGTATATTGACACAACACGAAACAGGTTCAAAACTGAACTGAGTCTGTGGCGGGGCTTTGTTGGAAATTTATAGAGACAACGCACACAATGAAACTTATCAACACGATAAGAGAGAGACAGAGATCAGCTTGGGCGCCATTTTGTTTTCGTGTAGGTGTCTCTGTGTGTGTGTCTCAGTGAGTGTGCGTGTGTGTGTGTGTGTGTGTGTATGCAGCGTGAATGTGCTGGATTTTTCTTTTTGCTGGATGTAGTTTTTCAATATATGTGCAAGTACTAGATGGATTTGAACCCCATTTGATCTGTGTGTGGCCCCCGCACCCGTTCGGGTCGTATGCTGAGCAGCTGATGAGATTCGACATTGTTCGAAAAACTGATTAAAAACATTTCTAATCTAATTTGTTTAAAAACTGCGCAATTCGTCGAAAAATTTGTTGTCAGTCATTCAAATTGTGTGTTGGCCCAACAAACAATTATCGCACAAAATCAGACAGATAAACCAATTGAAACTGTATGAAATTGTCAGGTGTGCGGACTAGGTATATTAATGGGACTCTTAGCCCAGTTCGGGTTGGCCATGAACGCATCTATATGGCAGCACTATCTTTGCGGTTCATGTCCAGTCAACAACTGAGCCGGTTTTTACCGGTTTCCAGCTATACCGATCTTACAGTCTATTCTACACTCGCTCGCAAAGTAAAAGAAGTATATTGGTTATAAGCATGGCCCATCTTGCTCTGGTAAAAATATGCAATTCGGAATAGTCTAGGTGTTTCTTTTTTGGTGGCACAATCGCTTATATGAAATGTAGCAGCCCGTCTTAGAACTAGCCATAAACGTTTTGTCCACACCCACGCCAGGCCCCTAAAAACTTGATAATCCACATTATTCACAGTTTAAGAATGGGCGCATTTCAGTTGGGTTGAGAACGAGTGAAGAGCTTCTTTATAGACTAAACAAATTGGAAAATATCTCTTATTAATTAATAGGGTAGCTGCGCCTGAACAGGCATTGCACAGTCAGATATACCCGAATTTGTAACTATATTTTGTTGTTGTTATGTTTTGTATATTTATATAAGTTGGAAATCGTTGCGTATATGCACATATATATGTACCTGCTGATGCAATTACTGACCTTACTAATGTTTATTGTTTCGTTTATTGAAAAGTTGTTTACGACTAGCCTGTAACGTGTATATATGTTGTATTTGCGAAATACAGATTGATTGATTGATGGATCGATGCGTCAAACTATACTAAATTATAAATATTATAAAAATCTTGTGATCGCTTTGTCTGATCACACTGATTCACAAGATTTCACACTAATCTGCGATTAGCAATTCTTTAATTAATTCCTTATTAAAACGACGCGCTTAAGAGCTATTATGTTACAACCTTATCGATGATTGACTTCTGATTGAGCTGCATAAGGCATATAAAAATGCTGTAACCCGATCTCCAATACATCATAAGCAATTTGAGATTGATTTCATTGTTCAATGCTGGATCGGCTGTTGCCAGGCTGAGAGGCTCATAGGCAATGGCAAATCTGTGTAAATGCTATATTTGCAATTTATTGAGAGCATTATAATGATAATTATATAAAATGTCGTAAATCATAGACATCTGTGACGCTTGATTTGTTTACTATATATGTAGCTCGGCATTTATGTATTTCGCCCGGCTTGCAATCAGCAGCAGTCGAAACACACGTTTGCAATAATTTTTTATTTTCTTACCTAAAATTAAACAATAATAAAAATAAAAGTGCAAAAGAGGTGCCCAAAATACTGACACTGAATGATTTGTCTGGCCACGAGCGTCCGAAGTCACGTAGTATGATTCGTTTTGCTGATTATAAGCCAGCGTGTTTTTTCCATATATAAACAATATAAACAAATACATGCTCATAAATAGATTATGTGGACTTTATATTGGGCAAGGCTAGCAGAGTCAAATGAGTACTGAGCCTATCAGATTAATGGCCTTTGACAACACATGTATATATGTATATATAAACAAATCAAACAAAAACAAACAAAAAATATTAGCCTGTGTTTTGTATTTAGATGTCAAGTTCAGACGTACTTTGCGCCAATTTAATTTAATTTTTAAATTTAAATATTTAACGTGTGCTGCTCCTTGCGCGCACTTTCAACACTGGCCCGCATACTTATCTGTTAAGTTCGCCGCAATTCTGTTAAGTGTTTACAGTGCTCGCGGCGGTTATCGAGCTGTTGTTGCCTATCGATTGTTCGTCGCCAAAATTAGCTAACAACAAACGAGAAACACGGGAAGTTGTTAATTAAAACGTTGACCCAGATACAAAAACACACTTACGGAGGCCGCACTGTGACAGCATGTCGTGGAAAAAGGAGCTGCGCGTTTTAGCCAAGCCCTACTATTGGGTTAATATACTGCTAGCCATATCGTATCTGCTGGCGAAGAAGACAAAGGTGATTTGCACGCGCCTTTTCCAGCAGGCCGACCAGGAGGACGTCTGCGATATGGACAGCCGCGAGGTAGAGATATTGTTCTTTCTGCTCATTGTGGTCATGATAAGGTCTCGCAAAACGGGCAGCGTCACCATGATCAACTATCTGACCTCGTCGTTTCTCTACACAAAAGTGGCCAATATGATACTCTGGGCGTACGCAGATTTTCGTTACGGATTGGGCTTTCTGCTGATATGCGTGCTGGTCGGCATGCTGCTGCCGGAGCCCTCGTATCGTGGCCCGGAGCACATTACCTACTTCCGCAATGCTCAGGTCTTCGAGGAGGAATTGGCGCGCGACAAGCGCATCAGTTGGCTGATTTGTTTCTACACCGTTTGGAATCCGAGCTGTGTTAATTTTGCGCCCATCTTTGCTGAGCTGTCGGCGGAATACGATACGGAGTTGCTGAAATTTGGCAAAATCGATATTGGACGCTTTCCGGATGTTGGGCAAAAGTTTCGCATTTCGGACAGCAGCTTCTCCCGCCAGCTGCCCACGGTTATACTGTTCCAGCAGGGCAAGGAGGTGGATCGTCGGCCCAGCGGCGATGCCAAGGGCAAGCTGCAAAAGTTCTTCTTCTCCAGCGACAATGTGCGCGCCACATTTGGACTGAATCAACTGTACAAACAGGCCGTGGAACGGCTGCCGGCTAAACAGGAGCCACTGGAGTCCAAAAAATCGAAATAGCTGCTTGAAATTAACCAAATGTCATCTCATTGCGAATGTTTTGTACGTGCTAACATCTGTTAATTGTGTAGTTTGTAATTGTTTTTTAATTTATTTTGTCGTTTTGCACAAAATGTACAGCTCGAGGCACGTACAGAAATAACTATGCAAAAGACACAAACGTTGCCATTGCCTAATTTATTACTGCATATTAATTAATTTGTAGCTAAATTCAAGTCATAAATTGTAACTAATAAAATTTGTAAGCTGTTAAAGTGCAGTTCAACTTAACTGACTACTTCAACGTCTCTGTCTTGGGTTTCTTGTTAGAGCTTAATTAATTTAAAGTAACATTTCCGTTGTCAATATATACCCTGTTTATAAGAGGCTATAAACAGTTACTATAGAGCATATTTATTGTAATTTAGGCACATACATTTTATACTCAGCTATTAACATTATAATTAAATGTAATTTTAACATAATGTTTATTCTCACAACCGGCTAACAGTGCTGTAGGATATTTTATAGCCAGGCAATCAACTGCAGCGCTGTTGCTGCTTGATTTTTATAGTGTTGCCTAACACGGCTAGTTTGAGCGCTGCTCAACATTGCATGCTTGGCGCGCTTGCAGCGCTGGTTCTTGCCTTGGCTAAACGTTTCAAATTTTTGCTTGCTTCATAATTTTTCATATTTCGTTTTAAATTCAGCCCTTTAAGTA